GAAGCTTGAAAAACTTCAAAAATCAATCTTTTTAGAAAACAAAAGTAATTTTTTCTATGAAAGGGTTCAGCAAAACCTTTGCAATATTCTTAGAATCTAGTATAAAATCAATGGATTATAGTGCATTCGATAGCACACACTGTGCTCTATCTGACACACAATAAAAACCACCAAGTCGATAAATTTTACCGAAATTGGCTTTTTCTGAGGGACCTTAAGAAGCATTCGTGTCATTTATCCAGTTGGCAATGATCAAAATGACTCGTCAATTTGACATGAACAATAACGATCTCTGTTTCACTGTGTATTAGTTCTACACTGCAGTAAATATCTCTAAATTAAAAGTATCTAGCGAGAAAGTCACTAAAATAGAAAATTACATCCACATGAATTCGTAAAAGATGCTATATTTTTGCATTTTTCGGACACAATTCTATTTTGTCTCAAAGCTTGTAATAAGATACCAGTATTTGCTTACAAAGTGCGGCAGTGTTGCATGTAGACTATGGTTATTCGAGTCTAGATGTCTTATCGCACTGTCACTCGACTCTGTTACGCAATACATTGTTTTTGTTGCCGCTTATCACCATTCCGCTATTTTCTTTGTTCTCTTGAAATCTTGTCAATCAAAAATAGCTTGAATGTCTGACAGTTTGTGTTTTGTTCTGTTTCATTTGTTTTTCCTTTTCTCTGGCAGAAAGCTCGACAGCTTTCAAGTTACTCAACAACTGATCGTGGCTTTTGACTTAAAATAATCATGTATTCTATAGAAATATTAATTCTACATTGATTACTTATTGATAAAGAATCACAATTGTGTACTAGATTATAGTTGATTTTATTAGATTCATTAAAAATATCAATGATGTCGACACATTATGTGTCGGTATAATATTTTCAGGAAATTCATAAGAGCTTTACGAAATACACTTCCTCCAGTTAATGTATAGATATAGAATGGCAATCCGCATGACATGTACAAGAGCAAAAGAAATAAATTAAAGGCAAAATTCTCAATAGTTTTTTCCAATGGGGATTTGGACATAAATCGAGTTATGGTGGTATAGAGTTTATATATGGCAATAGGAAAAGTAAATAGAAAGATGAGAAAAACTTGAACAAACAACATGATCATAAGACGGCGATCCATCTTCTTCCATCGCGGTGGACTACCAGTGCTCTTCGTCACTATGCTGAGACCTAAATTAGTAACTATAATCCTATCCGCCGGATGCCAACGAGAATGCAATTGATGTATATTCGAAATAGTCAGCAAACCGAAAATGATCATCAATGCCAATGGAACTAGAATTGTAATTAAGGCAAAGCATAGGTCTGATATAATACCACACCACACTGTTTTAGTATAGCATTTCAGTGGTGTGCTGGTGAGATTGGCTTGGTAACAATAGAGCTGTTGTGCTTCAATAATAGTTGAAATGATGACCATCAGAATCGTACCAACTTGAGCATTCTTCATTGTGCTTCTTTGTCGTAGAATAGCATTTATGTTTGATGAAAGCCATCGATCGATCGTGGCCAACATGATAAGCCAAGAACCGAGATTAATTCCATCGTACAGAAGAAAAGCGCGAAGTTTGCAAAGAAATTGATTTGTAGTTGTTAGATCAGCAGACCAAGTTGATAATGGTCGAGAAGTAAGCCCAGCAAGAATACCAATACTGTTAGAAATTGATGAAACAAGAAAGAGCCATGCACAAGGATTTGAACGAAGAGGTCGTTGTGACAAAACGCACGTATTGAGAGCATTGCCCACAATACCAAAGAGAAAAATGAAAATTCCAAAGTAACGATTGAGTTGAGTTGAAGCATCATTCAACGAAGCAATACGACATGCATCGGATAACAGTGACATTTTTTGAGTGAATGAAGTAGCTATGTAAATAAAATGAGAAAAGGTTAAATGATAGATGTGACGAGATCATTTTTATATGTCAGATATTCTCTCATCACAGCATGTATGTCTTCAAAATGTCGCATACCGAGTATGTGCGGTAGTTTTTTTGCATATTCTATCATATGCATCAACTTAATCTACTCAGGAATGATGAGATCCACTAATATTGACTCGCATCATTAGATAACAAATCTTCAATACATGAAGAATTTCGAACATATACGTAGACATTTTTTAAGAAAAATAGCAAAATTTCACTGTTGTTTTCGTTTACGTGAATAATTAGAAGACAATAAAATAGAGTGTAAACTAATCATCATCAACGATGTAACTACAAATCTTTGGGTAATTGGGCACCGCTCTATCAGTTTTTGAAACTCTACTTATGATCATGAAGATTATTTCGTTGTTATATAATCAAGGTAATGATACCATATTTTTCTTTGAAGAAAAAGTTTCAAACTAATGTTATATTGATTTTGTTCGTTCTGAATCTCTAGCTGACAATTATGTAGCATTGTAAGTAACACCCTCCTCCCCCCTATACCTATTAGAAACCTACTACTTGAATTATTGCTGAATGATGTTCATTGGAAAATACCAAATGCGAATAAATAGAAAAGAAAGTAATAACTCAACTACGTATAATGGAAATATATTTTCCTTCGAGGAAGAAAAAAACTATTGTTAGCTAGAACTAATACGAAAGAAAAAAAAAGAGAGAATCAAATATTATTGGAAGAGAAGAGAACGACTCATATTAAACTTGACTTGTATTTAGCAGGGTAATGATAATTGGCCGAAGCGAGAGCTGAAAACCGAAGCAGTCTAATACTCTGATTGGTTATTTTACTTCCGAAGACCTGATGCATTAAAAGCTCCATTCATTCTATGAGATGTCGCCTCTATATTGTTAAAACTGTGGTAGGAACCAGAACTAGCAAATCTTCTAGCTGAAAAAAAAATTCTTAAATCTATTATTTGAAAAAATACTAGAAAATGTGGTTATTTTTGATTGAGAACAGTCACCTAAAGGATAAGTCGAGCTATCCAAAGATTGTAATAAAAATGTATATTTGATCCGCCAAATTTATCTAGAGGATAATTCAATTTATCCAAAGATGATTAAATTAAACGTGCATATTTCCATTTTATATTATAAATTACTTTTACATTCAAAATTTTTGATCATTTGTAAAAATTTCTTAAAATATATCTATCATTTGATTTATATTAAAAAAGAACTATTGAACAATGATCCTAATTCTAATTAGAAAAATTTCCTTATTTTCCTTTACTGAGTACCATTATACTTTTGACGTTGTAGATTTTTATATTCCAAGGTTCCGAATGAACTTCAGAATCAAAATTTTTTCATACACTTTGTTTGATCCAGCAAAGAGTACGTGTACAATTAACTTTCGTAAGCAAAGGGTACCAAAGTATAGAGATCGAAGTTTATTAAATAATATAGAAAAATAAACGTGTTCATATAAATGTCTGATCAGAAGTATAAAACAAATGTGTAAGATTAAATAAACAAAAGGATTAGTCGATAGTAAAATTGGTCAGAAGAGATCATGTTGTACATTTTACCGTTCACTCATATTAATATTAATTCATTAACAAAAAAAATTTTCGGCGAAGAACAAAGTGTTAATTTCATAGACAGAGTGTAAAATAACGTGTAAATTGAATTCAGCAAGGGTTTCGTACATTTTGATTCGGCAGTGTATACTTGATATTCGGAACCTTGTTATATTTCAGTTAATTATAAGTAAACTATGAACGATCATTTATTCGCTTGCTCCATCCTTGACAATGATCAATCAGCGGCAGAGATCACTTCTGCTTTCGGCTTTAACTTTGGCCTATTACTATTACCCATATTAGCAGTATTAGGCATTCACTGATTATAAAAATATATGAAGGAATAACATCTAGCACTCTTTGACGATAAACATTCAAAGTTTGATAATTGCTACAGTTCTAATGACAATTCTATTGTTGGCATTACATCAACCATTGATAACTGACACCCAACATTTATCACTATATATTTAATTGAAGTCCGAAGAAGACAATGAAAATGATCGAATTTTTGAATGATCTGATCGATCTCTATTATTGTCGGCCTTAGATTCATCAGATCTTGATAAATTGAATGATTCTCATCAGAAAGTGCTTGTGGATGTGGGTGTGGATAAGGGTCCATCCTTTCTTAGTTCACACTCGCACCTGTGTTAGCTGAAGAGAATACGTCCGCACTTACACGCATGATAACTAAATTTATGTGTAGATTTTGTGTTTTTTGTTTGAATACTTTCAAGATAAAGTTTTTTATTAAGTTCATATGGATCATCTACAATTCAATATGTGAAATTCGTTCAATTTTTTTTTTGAAAAGTTCTTCATCTATCTTTAAAATAATCTATATCAGTATGACATCCTTTCAACCATCGTTCACCACTTCAAAGATTGAATTCATGTCTCGCATGAAGAACTCGACGGTTATGACATAATACATATTGATCCTTTTCTAATATTAATTCTACTTGATTACTTTGATCATCTATTAAATCACAAAAGCATTTGAAAGCTTGAATAGGTTTTCAAAATTCAGATTTTGATGTGTTACTTTCAAATGGATCTTGAAACGGTTGTGTCTAATTAATAGGACCAATCGAATTATCTGATGAAAATATATTTATCACCACAGTTGAATATGTAAAATGATAATGTCGATCAACATTTCGACCATAAAAAGTAACAGGATATGAACAAAGTATTTGGAAAGCTTCCGGATTATGTTAACGAAGAACTTCAGTTGCATGAAATGAATCAACATAAAACGATGCTCTTCCACTTCTATTAACATTATCAGCTCATGAATGCAAAAATTGTAAACCTGATGCTGCTTTAAAATACAATAAATTCATATGAGACTCAAGTTCTTGAGATGTATAAATAATATGAATAGCTTTTTGAACACTTCGAACATCCCATGGTTTACCATAAAATGTATGATGGATTTCACCAATTCTTTTAACAAGACGTTCAAGAGTAAATTTTGCCTTGAACATTAATCAATGAAAACAAGACCATAATCAGTAAGATAATTTAATACTGTATAAAAATCTTGATCATAATTGAGATAGTTATTAAATTGAACATCCCGATTGACTTGTTGAATATCATTTCGATTCCAATAAATAAATCGACAATCGTGATATCTTGCACATGATACATTGTTTGATGTTGGATATGTTTGAAGTGAAACACTTGAATATAAACAACGATGTATATTAGAATTTTTTTGATTTAATATTGGTTGATTCCAGATTATTTCAAGAATATGATTATCTAATATCACAATTATGCAAGCAAATGAAAGAACAAGGCATAATTGGCATAGGGTTCAAATATACTTGACGCTCTTCTCTTCATTCACACACATCCTAAACATTTTTATAATAAAATAAATCTTCCTGCCTAATCCAACATCAAATTATGAGTTATATCCTTTCGATTGAATGTGCAAAAAATGAATCGGGTGTGGGTGTGAGTATGAGTGTGAGGTGTCGGGGTAAGGATGGAGAGAAAACTAGTGCCAACACCTACGCACACCCACACACATACATACTCGGGCCCAGACCCACATGCACACTCATCCACACCATACCAACACCGTCGGTCACTATCAAGATGCTTTTAATATTTGCATCTAATTTGTGTGTTTTTTTTTTGTATTTACCAGCTCGTAATTCGCTTTATTCAAGAAATATTATGTACCCTTGTCTTGATAATTTGTTGTTGTTTTTCAATCGACTTGACTGTTCTTCGAGAACGATCGCCAACAGAGTGGCCAGATTAAAAATTAAAAAAAAAATAATCAGAAAGGGTAGTTTTTTGCAAACTAGTGGGCATCGTGCTAAGATGCTAGCATCCAACGCTTCACTGGGTTTCTGTTCATCGATTTATACTTTATTTTCAGAATTATTTCACTATAAAATAAGACAATGTAATGGATATATCCCTGATCTAATAAAGAACACTTAGTGTCGAACATTGTCACTAAATTCAAAATTCGTTCACAAAAAATTGCTAAACCAAACCACATATATATGATGTAGATTAAGAAATCTCATGAAAAAAGAAGGTTATGCACCATCATCTCGATATTATTCATATTTTGCATTTTTTCGAATTTGCTTTAACAAGTGTGTTTCAGATAATATATGTTAATAAAATCATTCACAAGAGTTTACCATTCATTCTTATTTTAAGTGCAGCATTGACCAATTACTTACCTATACGATTAAGATAATCTGATTGTAAATACTGACACTTTATCAGATTCATGCTCTGAAGCCATAAATTGTGTTACTAAGTGATTATTTTCGAATGATTTAAGAGATTTTTTATTTGCGTGACTAATCATATGTATTTCAACAGCTGATTTTCGATCAAAATCAAGAGAAAACGTTTAAGAGAGGCTGTATATCGAGCTTCTGTTAAAGCACGATTTATTTCTTGTAGCCACGACGAGTATTCATCAACAAATAACCAACCTGTATGAAAAACGTCTTTTTTTCTGCAGTTTACAATAAGATAAGACCATTAAAACGGGTCGAAACAAGAAATTTATTCAACTTCAATTCACTAACTGGTAGTGCAACTCAGAGACTACCAATTATTAATGGAGAAAAAAGATGGTATAGTATCGATGTTCTATAGTAATGGGTTGTAATCGCACATAATTCCACTATCAAAGTTGCGATCTGAAAAAGTTCCTAATTCGAAAAAAAAAACAGAACAAAAAGTCAAAATCAGAAAAATATTCAAAAGTCAGAAAGTTTCCCTATTTTTCATAAGATCTAGCTACCCTGCCCACATTCCCACACGCACACCCACCCTAATAGATCTATAGAATAGAATTGCNTTTTCCTTTTCTCTGGCAGAAAGCTCGACAGCTTTCAAGTTACTCAACAACTGATCGTGGCTTTTGACTTAAAATAATCATGTATTCTATAGAAATATTTATTCTACATTGATTACTTATAGATAAAGCATCACTATTGTGTACTGATTATAGTTGATTTTATTAGATTCATAAAAATATCAAGGATGTCGACACATTATGTGCCGATATAATATTTTCAGGAAATTCATAAGAGCTTTACGAAATACACTTCCTCCAGTTAATGTATAGATATAGAATGGCAATCCGCATGACATGTACAAGAACAGAAGAAATAAATTAAAGGCAAAATTCTCAATAGTTTTTTCCAATGGGGATTTGGACATAAATCGAGTTATGGTGGCATAGAGTTTATGTATAGCAATAGGAAAAGTAAGTAGAAAGGTGAGAAAAACTTGAACAAACAACATGATCATAAGACGGCGATCCATCTTCTTCCATCGAGTCGGATTTCCAGTGCTCTTCATCACTGTGCTGGGACCTAAATGAGTATCTATCATTCTATCCGCCGGACGCCAACGAGAGTGCGATTGACGTATATTCGAAATAGTTAGCAAACCGAAAATGATCATTAGTATCAATGGAGCTAGAATTGTAATTAGGGCAAAACATAGATCCGATGCAATACCACACCATACTGTTTTAGTATAGCATTTCAGTGGTGTGCTGGTGAGATTGGTTTCGAAGCAATAGAAATGTTGTGCTTGAATAAGAGTTGAAACAATGACCATTAGAATCGTACCAAGTTGAGCATGCTTCATTGTGCTTCTCCGTCGTAGATTAGCATTAATGTTTGATGAAAGCCATCGATCAATCGTGGCCAACATGATAAGCCAAGAGCCGACATTAATTGCAACGTGCAGAAGAAAGGCGCGAAGTTTGCAAAGAAATTGATTTGTAGCTGTTAGATCAGCAGACCAAGTTGATAATGGTCGAGAAGTAAGTCCAGCAAGAATACCAATACTATTAGAAATTGATGAAACAAGAAAGAGCCATGCACAAGGATTTGAACGAAGATGTCGTTGTGACAAAACGCACGTATTGAGAGCATTGCCCACAATACCAAAGAGAAAAATGAAAATTCCAAAGTAACGATTGAGTTGAGTCGAAACATCGTTCAACAAAGCAATACGACTTGCATTGAATAACATTGACATTTTTTGAGTGAATAAAGCAGCTATGTAAATAAAATGAGAAAAGGTTAAATACTAGATGTGACGAGATCATTTTTATATGTCAGATATTCTCTCATCACAACATGTATGTCTTCAAAATATCGTGTACCGAGTATGTGCGGTAGTTTTTTTGCATATTCTATCATATGCATCAACTTAATCTACTCAGGAGTGATGAGGTCTACTAATATTGACTCGCATCATTAGATAACAAATTTTCAATAAATGAAGAATTTCGAACATATACGTAGACATTTTTTAAGAAAAATAGCGAAATTTCACTGTTGTTTTCGTTTACGTGGATAATTAGAAGACAATAAAATAGAGTGTAAACTAATCATCATCAACGATGTAACTACAAATCTTCGAGTAATTAGGCACCGCTCTATCAGTTTTTGAAACTCTACTTGTGATCATGAAGATTATTTCGTGGTTATATAATCAAGGTAATGATACCATATTTTTCTTTGAAGAAAAAGTTTCAAAATAATGTTATATTGATTTCGTTCGTTCTGAATCTCTAGCTGACAATTATGTAGCATTGTAAGTAACACCCTCCTCCCCCCTATACCTATTAGAAACCTACTACTTGAATTATTGCTGAATGATGTTCATTGGGAAATACCAAATGCGAATAAATAGAAAAGAAAGTAATAGCTCAACTACGTATAATGGAAATATATTTTCCTTCGAGGAAGAAAAAAACTATTGTTAGCTAGAACTAATACGAAAGAAAAAGAGAAAATCAAATATTATTGGAAGAGAAGAGAACGACTCATATAAAACTTGACTTGTATTAGCAGTATTAGGCATTCATTGAATATAAAAATATATGGAGGAATAAAATCTAGCACTTTGTAAAGATGAACATTTAAAGTTTGGTAATTGCAACAATTCTAATGATGATTCTATTGTTGGCATTACATCAATCATTGATGACTCACACCCAACGTTTACCACTAGATATTTAATTGAAATTCGAAGGAAACAAGTATAATGATCAAACTTTTGAATGGTCTGATCCACCTATAGTATTGTCGCCCTTGGGTTCACCAGATCTTGATAAATTAAATGATTTTCATCAGAAAGTGCTTGTGGATGTGGGTGGATGTAGGTACGCGTGTAAGAAAGGAGAAAAACACTCATTCCGAGCCATTCAAATGGCTAGGAATGACCTGAAGTGGTTAGAAATGACAAGGAATGGGTCAGAATGTAAAAAATTCTTTATAACGTTAAATTCGAATTTTGACATCTTAGCAATTCTAGAATCTTTAATTTTTAGTTCTAGTGATTTTGTAGATGGAGCTCAACTAAAAATTAATATAGAAGAATGGATGCAAATCGAACCTTAAGTAACAGAAATGACAATGTTTGCATGATAGAAATGTATTGGAACCTGCTTACCTATGACTTAGCCATTTTATTTTCAAACTTGAATTCTTCTTTTCATATATCATTTTCTATGCAATTGTACATCCTCCGAAGCCCACTGCAAGATGAAAACTTGGTTTTTGATTTTATGATTGCACTACATTTATTGATTAGGGTGTAGGCGAGGGGTGGGGGTTCATCTTATCTTAGTTTACACTCACAACTGTGCCAGCTGAAGAGAATATGTTTACACTTACGTTCATGATAAATAAATTTATGTGAAGACGTTGCATTTTTTGTTTGAATACTTTCAAGACAAAGAAAGTTTTTTATTAAGTTCATATGGATCATCTACAATTTAATATGTGAAATTCGTTCAATTTTTTTTTTGAAAAGTTCTTCATCTATCTTTAAAATAATCTATATCAGTATGACATCCTTTCAACCATCGTTCACCACTTCAAAGATTGAATTCATGTCTC